CCAGCAGCACCCCATCCCAACACCTCAGGACTAGGAGGTGCAATCCAACCAATTTGGTGAATTAGGCTGCAATGAGGATAACCCAGAAAGGTGAGCCGACTAAAGTGCAGGCCTGGGGTGCTCCATCTTTACAGAGTTTGCCCACACTTCCACACAGCGTCTTTTCTAGTGTTTTCCCCACTGGCACCAAGTCCCTGCAGGCCTCCCTCCCTCCCACTCCTCATGACCCAGCAGTGGCCAATCTGGCTGGTCAGATGGTCAGAAATGGCTGGCAGCCCTGGATGAACTCCCTCTTCTTTTTCCCCTAGCAGGAGGAACATCAGGACGGACACTGTCACAAATGCCAGGCTCCAGCTTCTGGCCAGCATTTATCAAAAGCTCTGGGCAGAGCCTTGCACAGGGCTGGGTTAATTCCTTGGCCAGGATAAGGCTTTCCTAGTCCCAAGATAAGACAGGTTACTTCCATCCCAACATCAGGGTCTCTAATGGTAGGAGACAAAGGAAAAATAAGCACCTATTTGTGCAGGTCTGCCAGCTCAGGGTACCAGAAAACAGGAGGCTTTCTGCTTTTAGGAGAGCCACATTTGCTCTCCTTTAAAGAATGCTTTATAGCATTTCCAGAGAGGGGAGGGTGGGCATAATGAGTCAAGAAGCTGGGCATGGGCCTGGGCCCCTGAACAGAACTGGGAGAAGAGTCTCCTGAAGAAGCACATGCTGGCCACCACACTCTCCTTGACTCTGCTGCAAACCCCCTGCCCAATGGAACCCCTCAGTGCTGAGGAACCCTGACTGGTCTTAGAACAGCACCCCTAAGCTTTCAGGTGACCCCCCCCCCCATGGAATTGTGATTCTCCTTTGGTAGGGGCAAAAATGAGATCCCTATCTCAGAGCTTGTTCTGCTATCTGAGCAATTTGAAGGTCAAAATTCGTGCATGTATTTTTCAAAGCAAGTTCGTCTATTCTCAGAGCCACAGAGATGTTGAAAAGGGACAGAAATGAAAAGGCCCATTGAAGCTGTCCACATTTACCCACAACCCAGCCTCCCACCTCCTTCCTCTCTCCTGCATAGCATCTTTATCTGCCAGGAGTCCTATGGATCTAACAGTACTTTGGGGCCTACACCCTTCCCTACCCCTAACCTCTGCTGTTCATAAGCCTCCCCAGCTGGTGTGTGTCCAGGAATACCAGGTGTTGGTCTTCACTTTTTCTTTTAAGTACTGGTTGAACCAGTTAAACTAGTCTTGCCTTTCCTAAGCTTGGAAGAAAAAAAGGAAAAGAAAAAAATCTGGCAGGCAGCTACTGGAGATATTTGGAACTCTCTGCTCAGGCCAACCCCATAATAAGAAAAATACTACTTCTATTTGTCTCATTTAGGAGGTTTCTACTTTTTTTCTTTGGTGGTCGACTGAATTCCATTTTACATAACCATCATAAATTTTCTAAAACTTTCCCCAATTGTTGCCAGCAACTTTGGAAGGTGAATGTGTGGGGGTGTAGATGGGAAGTCTCCAAGGGCAGTGACCAGGAGTTTCAGTGACTTTTCATGAGAAAATAGAACTTCTTTATCATCTAAGAAAGCCTCACCTTGCGTTCTTTCCAGAAAGATTCAAAGAGTTCACACCTCAGAGACTCCAAATGTCTTCAAAAGATAAGGCAATACAAAGCACACGAGGCTAAGGTGATGAGAAATTATGGTAGAATATATTCCTGGAGAAACCATCTGTGGCCCTAAAGTGCGAGTGCTCCATCTGAACTAGAATGCTCCTGGTATGCCCTAGGGACTCCTCTCTTCACACACAAACACCCCCCCCCCCCCAGGTTGCAAATGCAGTCCTCCCTGCTAAAAAGGTTTAAGCATTTTCAGAAGACAAAGATTGAATATGAGGAGTTCAAGCCACCAAAGCCTCCTTTCCACATTACTCATATACACAGAGGGGCTGGAAATTGAGTCTGAAGCACCTTCATCACTTTCATACAACTCTACTCACAGGATAGGAAGTGACTGGCCTGTGGCCTCTCTGCCTCTGGTGGTAAAAGATTGACTTAAAATTTTTTTTTTTTATACAGTGTCTCACTATGTTGCCCAGGCTGGCCTCAAACCTATGATCCTCCTGACAAAGCTTCTGAGTAGCTGGGGTTACAGGTGTGCCCATCACACTCAGCAAGGATTGCCTATTGCAAAAGAACCTCAAGTTTATTTTTTATTTTGGTGTTGGGGATTGAACCCAGGGGTGCTTTACTACTGAGCAACATGCCCAGCCCTTTTTAAATTTTATTTTGGGACAGGGTCTCATTAAGGTGCTGAAGCTAGCTTCAAACTTGAAGTCTTCCTACCTCAGCCTTCCGAGTTGCTGGGATTACAAGTGTGTGCTACCACGTCTGGAAAGAGCCTCAAGTTTAAAGACTCTAGCTTACACATATGCACATACGCGCACCCCAGAAAGGTGGCATCTCAAGTAAGATGAGGGGAAAATGAGAAACAGAATAAAAATAGTAGCCCTCGACCTCCAGCTGGCCAATATAAGGGACCCTCCCCTAGGCTGCTGGTGGGAGGGCGACCAGGAGCACCAGACACTCAAGTGCTGACATGGAGGATTCCTGGGGACATCTGAAGGTGTCATGGGCAGTTCTCTGGGAGAAGAGCTGGAGACCCTCAACTTCCCATTTTCTGGCATGGTGGTGTGGGATCACTCCTAACTCAGGGTGGCCCCGAGAACATTCTGTCCTTCACAGCTATTCCTCAGTTCTTCCTTACAACTCTAAGGGCCAAGTCTGCTATACGGCATCTTTGTGTTCTTATGACAGCAAGGGCAGTGTCTACAGAGAGGTCTCCCCAGCAACACATAGGACAAAAAAGTCTTCAGGAGGCGTCAATACATGTGGGGCAGAAGTGAATAGAGCATTTGAGGCTGTGGGTGGGGAGGGCCATGAGACACAGGGAAGACTACTCTCCCTCCATGGTTCCAGACAGAGATGGTCAACAGGGACAAAGCTGAGCTTGAGTGTGGGAAGCCTGGAGCACACATAACAATGGATCCAGGAACATGGCGGCCGCCAGTCTCTGGGGAACAAGGAAAGGCTGTCTGTCTACTGGGAAAGAAAGGGTTTCCAGATACTAGGCAGGAAATATAGGGAAAGGAAACACCAGGAGTAGAGTCAGGGCATGATCTGCCCTGTAGCTGAGGAAAGCAGGTAGCATTCCTGCCCACAGAAATAATCTTTTGGCCATGCAAGTTAAGTAAGAGATTTGAGAATACAGGTTGAGTATCCCTAATCAGAATATCTGAAAACCTGAAGTGCTCCCAAAATCTGAAACTTTTTTTCCCTTGGTGTTGAGAATTGAACCCAGGGCTTTACACAGGCTGGACAAGTGCTCTACCATTGAGCCAAATCCCCAGTCCCCTGAAATCTTTTGAGTGGTGATATGGCTCCCCCAAATTTCAGATTTTTTGGATTAGAGATGTTCAACTGGTAATGTCTATGTAAATGTCCCCAAATCTGAAAAACTCCCAAATTTGAAACACTTCTGTTCTAAGCGTTTCAGATAAGGGTTACTCAACCTGTGGTAGGATATGTTTTCAGCAGAATTGAGCAGATCAGATTAGTCACCGATTTATTTCCCAGAATCAATGGCTGATGCTTTATGTGGGAAGAACATATCTGGTGTGAGGAAAGCCTTTCCAGGAAATGTCCATTGTTAGGATGGGGGCAAGGAAAAACAAGTCTTCAGATTCTGAGATACCATAACTCTTCTAGTCCCTGCTCTGACTTTTTTTTTTTTTTTTGTGGTGCTGGGGATTGAACCCAGGGCCTTGTGCGTGCAAGGCAAGCACTCTACCAGTGGAGCTATTTCCCCAGCCCCCCTGCTCTGACTTTAATTTGAGAGGCTGGGCCTACTGCAGGGTTAGCCAACACCCATGAAGTTCTCTGATGAACAGAATTTGGAGATCAGTTTAAAGACATAATAATGGACAACCACAGTGCCCCAGCAGCATAAGCTAAGCAGCACTATGCCATCTATCTGGAAAACTGCCATAAGAAGCCTATGGAAGGCCTTGCCTCTCCCACGACCACTGCCAACCACGTGTCAGGCTCTGTGCTAAGGTAAGGGGTTTTCTGTGTAATATATCTTAGGTCAAGAATCCCATGGATGAGGGAATGCTATCACCATTTTATGGACCAGAAAACTGAGGCCCTACTATGCTAAGCAACTTATCTGAGATAATAGTGAGTGGTAGAGGAAGGTCCAAACTCAGATCAGCTGAACTCTGAATCTTTACCCATAGTATACCAGGCAGTTGTTGACACTTTTTTGTCCCTGGAGATATTAGGGAGACTTGAATGTCACAGAATCCTGGGCTCCATGATCCCCCCTCCTGCTATATTCACTGCTTAGTTTCAGGGCAGCCTCCAAGGTAGGAAGCCTTGGTGGAGCATTGAGGCTGTGTGACAGCACTTGAATCCATAAAGGGTGTCCTTAGATTCACCGATTCCCTCATGTTCTCTGCTGCAGGGAGTCAGAGGGCTTAATCAGGTGTTCACCTGAGTTGCAAAGTGAGGTGATGACCAGGCTTCCAGTATCCTGTGCATACCACCAGCGCACAGGCTCCTATTCCCCAGGGAGGGACCATGCTCCTGCTAGCCCCCTTTGCTGGCTTTTAGAGTGAGTCTGGCTATCTTGGGGCCTGCTATGGTCAGGTGTGCAAAGGATGAAAGAATGGGTATGTCCATGAAACAGAAGGGGTAGAGGGAAGATTATTGATGAAGCCCTGAGAGCTTTCACGGTGCCATGGACCTGACCCCTGGGCCTACCTTTCTTGGCCCATTTCTTTGCCACTAACTTGTACTCCCAGCTCCCTGAAACAATATGTTTCTTATCACCATGTAGGCATTCCTGCCATAAGGCGAATAAAACTGTACAGTTCCCCTCAATCAGAGCCTCTCCCAGAACTGGTTATACCCACAACAACCTCAGGAGGCCAGCAAGGCCCAGCCCTTACCATTGTATGAGAGGCGAGGTTTGCTCAGACACATTATAAAGTGCATTTCCATCTCATCAGAAGCCACAGACTTGGAGCAAATGGGGCACTTGAAACCTGAAAGAGAGGAGAACAGAATGAAATGTCTTCTCCAAATCCAAAGGATCTACAATAAATGTAGACACACTCAAATGATGTGTGTAGGGGTAGCATCAACATGGACAATGACAATCTAGACCATCATGACTGTGGCCTTCCCATCACAGCCTTTGGCTCCCAGTTTTCTCTAAGGCTCTCCTGTCACATACCCTTTGATAATGTTAAACAGAGGTCACCGATATGTGGTTTTAGCTTAATTTTCTTCATGACCCTTTCCCAGTAGGGTCTAGTAGACAACAAGGATAGAGGAAGCAAATCAAGACAGCTGAATAATCAATCTTTTTCTATGGGGGCTACTGGGGACTGAACTCAGGGGCACTCGACCACTGAGCCACATCCCAGCCCCATCTTGTATTGTATTTAGAGACAGGGTCTCACTGAGTTGATTAGTGCCTTGCCTTTGCTGAGGCTGGCTTTGAACTCATGATCCTCCTATCTCAGCCTCTTGAGCTGCTGGGATTATAGGCGTGCGCCAACATGCCCAGCCTGAATAATCAATCTTTGAATAACAAAGAATTTAATATTTTTCTACCTCACAGCCTTCAAACCATTTGGCTAGATCACCCTTGGGAGGAATTACCATAGTCACCTGCTCAGACTCCTCTCCCACCCAGCCAGGCAGCACCTTCATTCCTCACCCAGCACACCCTGTGCCTCCCTCATGGCTAAGGCAGCTGTCTTCTGGGAAGGAAAGCAGCAGTGTAGCCCTCCAAAGTGCTTCCAAATGTCACCAAGCGAAATAGCTATTTCGAGGTGCCAGGTGAACACAGGGTTTCATGATCTGCTATTTTATTCCCAGAGAAGTTTGGACCATTTATATTCCCAAAGGTTTCATTAGCACTGTTTTAGTACTAGTGAATTCTGGTCAAGCATCTTTTGTGTTGAACTCAATGCATTAAGTAAACCTAATCCCTAGATTTTGTTTTGTTTTGTTTTGTTATACTGGGGCTTGAACTCAGGGGCACTTTACCACTGAGCTACTTCTTCTTACTAAGTTGCCAAGGTTGGCTTTGAATTTTTGATCCTCCTGCCTAAGTCTCCCAAGTCACTGGGATCACAGGTGTGCACCACTATGCTTGGATCCCTAGTTTTCTTTTCTTTTTTTAATATAATAGAAACGAATATTTTCAATCTTTTCCATTTTACTTTTATTGAAATAATTGTTAAATAGGTCAATTCTTTTCCATGTAAATTCTATCAAAAAGATTCACTGATATTGAAAAGTTATTTATTTGCATCAAAAAAAAAAAAAAAAAAAAACCTGCAACACAGCTTTTCTTTCGTGACTATGATTCCTACTTGCCCATCTGCACTTCCTAATATGGCATATCTAATTCCTTATGTGAAGATTTCACACTCCTGTTACTTTTTGGTCTAATTTTTCATCCACAATTTTATTTGATGTTGGTAATGACTGTCTTTAGTATTAGTTATGAAAAGATAAAAGGCCAAGCACTCAAAATTGACTGTTGTTGGTCTCAGAACAGAGAAGAGTTCATACCTTCCCAGTGTTCTTCCTGTGGCTACTTCCCTCATCTGTGTGGAAAGTTGTGACTGGGGTGGGTGGCACTGAGGTAGGAAGCAAGCTGGCACAAGCATTTGCTTCAAGTCTCCCAAATACTCTTTTTTTTTTTTTTTTTTCCAGTGACAATGCTTTGAACTACAGGACCAAACAGTAAATTCAGGGCCTGGTTAACTATGGTCAAAATGGACACTCTATGGAATGGTCCCCAATCCCTTAAGACCTTCCCTCAAAGATTATCAATATCTAAGCATCTCAGCTAAAAAGCCTTGGAAATGGTACCAATCCAGGGACTCCAGACAAATTTTTTTCATTTCTGACCTCTGCACAGTTAAAAAACCAAAAGACTGAAAAAAGAACTTAGGAGTAAAGAGAGTGGTATTCCACCCCCAATTTTCTGGTAGAATTGGTTCTAAAATGCACCAGGCTGATTATTTTATAATCAGTTTAAAAATGTGCAGATCCAGTGCCACATACACAATGGAGAGATGAGGAATGAACCTGAGTCTCAGAATGAAGATGCTCTTCATTTCTAACCCCAGTCCCTTGGTGTTCTCACAGTGTTGTGGTTTTTTTCCAATTCAAAACAAGGTTTTGAAAACTTTAAGTGGCTACAGGACACCTGCACTTTGAACTTGCTAAGTTAGTATCCTGCTTGCAGACTGAGGGCTGAGACTGTGGTAGCACAGAGGGAGGTACTCTTCAAGGTCCTTTTGAGGTGTTTAAAGTAATCTTTCACCAGGAAAAGCCTTACACTTCCTCACTTTCCTGATAATTTAGAATAGATGCACGGTTACCCAATGTAAGCATATGCACTCCCTGTATTCCAGTGTGGTTCCTTGAGTGCAGAAGGGGGGTCAATTTATAGGTAAGGCGTTGGCAAGCAGGCCACCCAAAAAGAAGGTCTACCAGGACATGTCACCAAATGTGTATGTCATGGGGGAAAAAGGATCAGAGCAACCCTCTCATTATACAGAGGAGAGAACAGGCTCCAGTGAGGCCTTGGAGTCTTGAAAGGTCACATGAGTGACATGGTAAAGCCAAGACTAGACTTCTTAGCTCTGAGCCCAAAGTTCTTCCACTAGGGAAGAAAGAGTTAGCCACAGCATTTTAAGAAAGAGGTAGGGGCTGGAGTTGTGGCTTAGAGATAGAGTGCTTGCCTAGCATACGTGAGGCACTGGGTTCAATCCTCAGCACCACAAAAAAACAAAATGGAGGAAGGAAAGAAGGGAGGAAGGAAGGGAGGGAGGGAGGAAGGTTTGGAGGCTGGGAATGCAGCTCAGTGGCAGAATGCCTGCCCACTTCCCTCCATGCATGAGGCCCGGGATTCAATTCCTGGCACTGCAAAAAAGAAAAAAGAGGTAGACTGGGAGATGTTGCCTCTGGAAAGGAAGAAGCTTGGTGACAGGAGGCCTGCATTTTAACTAAAGGGAGGTTAGTACCCCTGGGTGCTTTTGTTATGTGTTATTTTGTGAAGGCTCACAAAATAACCCTATGTAAGTGGGAAATGGGAAGATGACCCAGGTGTTCCAGCTTCAAGACCCTGGCAACTAATCTACCCCTTGTGGACCTTAAACTCCTCATCTAAAAGATAGGGGAATTCATTTTACTCTTGCAAGGATTAAATGAAACAAGAAACATGGAAGTACTGTGAAAAGAAGTGAACCAAACGTAGGTGGTAGAATCATCATTGGGCCAAGTGGCACTGGATGGGACAGGAACGAATAAAAGGGTTAAAGGAAGGACTTAGGATAACTGCGGTCTATGGTGATGTACTTGTAGGACCCTGAACAAGGGAAGACTGGCCACAGGCCAAGCAGTCTGCTGGAAGTGGCCAGCAGCCACATCTCTGCTGGATCCCACAGTTTCCTTTGAACTTCTAGAGCACTGTGCACGGCTACTGGCACTTTCCATACCGCCAATGAGGAAACAACAGTCTGTTTAACCTCTACGGCACCACCTCTTGGATATGATGATAAAGAAATAACACTTTGCATTTACTGACTTATTTGTATGGACAGTCACTGTCCAAAAAGGATTTACATGCCTTCTCATTGCAAGGTAAAAATAAGGTAGGTGCTGTTATTAACTCTGTTTCACAGACAAAGATATTGAGGACCACAAGATTAAGGAAGCTGTTCTAGGTTAATGCAGCTATAAACAGCCAGAGCTAGGACACGACCAGAGAGTGCCCATGGAGCTGGCACTTCTGTGCCACTGCTGGCTAGCACAGAAAGAGGAGTTACATGGCAAAACGAACCCAGACATGGTCTTAGCGAATACTCATTTCAAACCTTACAACATGTCGTTGCATTTCTCCTGAAGTACCCATGGTTCTGAATAATCCCATCACAATGGTGAATTTAGTTAATTTTTCTGGGAATTCTGTTAATGTGGAAGAACAGAGTTCTGCTTTCCACTTGGCACTGAGCCTACAGTACTGGTTAAGATGTTGGGTTTACAAATTACCTTTTAAATGGAAAATAAAAGAAAAAAGAGGGACAGAAAAATACAGAGAGCTAAGGGAAAAAAAAAACTAATGTCCCCACTTTCTTTCCTGAAAGGTCATCCGATGATCACGATGGATTCTACTACTCTACTGCCCCAATCTTTTCTCGTAATTGTCCAGCCTTGATTCAGCACCAATAGCCCTATGGAATGATAAATACTGTGATGTTTGTGAGCTATCTGAAGGTAAAATATCTAGAAAATTTTGATTCCATTTGGAAAGAAGTCTGTACCAAATGAAAAACAGCCCTGCAAACAAAAATAAACCAATGATCTTCAGAGTAATCCAGTTCACATGACTCTGTCAAATTTTCTCAGAGGCCTCAGAAGCACTTGGGAACAGTGAATCAGGGGGGCTTTACATTCTTTCAAGAGAAAGCCTCAGGTAGGCTCTTCAGAACTCTCTCAAATTGTTCTTAGATCAGATGCTGCCTGGTATACCCTGGAGGCAGGGGAAGAGAAGCCAGCCCTCCAAGGCCTTCAGGTGCCTGTCCATCTGCATTTGTTACATGTCTGCCACTAACATGGAGGGAGATGTCAGCTAGCTCAGGCTTGCTGGCCAAGTCTGACCCTCATTCACCTTAAGCCACTGTCTCTTGCATCAAACTGAGGCAAAGGTAGGAACTTGGTTCCTGTCCTTTTATGCTAATGTCTCAGAATGAGGAAGAACTGTCTGACAGTACCGTAGGTAACTTATCTGTGATGGTCCTATTCTGTGCTAGTGGCTCAATAAAGCAAATGATGATATAGGATTCCACTGAGAGTAGCCAAGAGAGTAATTCTAATGAAGACCTCATTTCTTTCCTTTTTCTTATCATCAGATAGGTTGTTTCTACATCCAGAAGAATGGAGGAGAGTCCAATTCATCAGACACTATGCTTACATGGGGAATACCTTGCTATTTTGACATCTACCAAAGACCAAAGCT